CTATGGAAATAAAAAAAATACAAAAGGGCGCAGCCCGGCGGTGGGAAGGGGTTGGGGGGCGGGGCGGAGGGGTCAGTCCTCGAGGACGATGGGCTCTGAGGTGCTGGCGGGGTGGGGCGGCGCGGGGGGCGGCAGGGACCCCCCCGGCCGTAGCGGCAGCCCTGGCTTCACCTTGAGGGGCAGCGTGGGGCGGCGGGCGGCCCGGCGCAGCTCCAGGTGGGTCAGCGCCTTCCGTAGGGCCCTGCGGGGGGGGGAGCAAAGCAATTAATGGGGGGGCAGATGGGAATAGAGGGAAACTGGGGTGAAAGAGGGGAGCAAAGGGGTGAATTTGGGCCCCCCCGCGGCCCCCCGGGCCGCGGGAAGGGAGAGGAAATAGGGAGAAAAGAGAGGGAAAAGAGGGGAATGGGAGAGAAATGGGGAGGGAAAGGGGATTCGTTAAGAGGAAAATGGAAAAAAAGGAGTAAATTAAGAAGAAAATATAGGGAATGGGGTGGAAAAGGGAAGAAATTGAGGGGAAGTTGGGAGAAATAAAGAGAAAACGGAAAAGGGGAGGATTGAGGGGGAACAGTAGGAAATAGAGGGGAGGATCTGGGGAATTTGAAGGGAAAAATGGGAGAATTGGGGGGAATTTGAGAGGAAAACAATGGAAAGATGGGAGAAAATAAACAGAAACCGGGGGAGCAAACTGAGGGGAAACAAAGGGAGAACTGATGGAAATAGGGATACATTGGAGGAAGACTAAGAGAAACCGGGTGGAAATGGGGGAAAACGGGGGTGAGCCGAGGGCCACGCGGACCCCCCGCAGCCCCCAGCCCCACCTGGTGTCCTTGGTGGCCACGAAGACAACGGGGTTGGGGGCGTCGGCGGGGTTCAGCTTCTGCCGCTTGCTGGCGGGTGGAGGACCGGCGCGCAGCCCCGCCGGTAGGGGGCGCCCGTTGGCCGAGAATGAGACGCTCGACGCACCGACCTGCGGGGACGGCCGTCAAGCCCCGCCCACCGGAAGCGCAAGCTCCGCCAATCGGAAGCCATCGCGATGCGTCCATCACCTCAAGTCCCACTCCCCCATAGGCCGCGCGCTTTGCCCCTCCCTCTCCAGCCCCTCCCTAATTCTTCCCATCCCCGCTCCTATTGGCCCGACCGCGCGTCCGTCAGCGCGGGGTCCGTACCCGTACCCGGGGGGGGCGGTGGCCTTCGGCCCCCCCCTCGTAGCCCCGTTTGCCCACGAGCCCCGCCAGCCCCCGGCTCTGGCTCAGCTGGTTCCGGTTGATGGGGGTCTTCGTGCCCCGCGGCGTCTTCGGCTTCAGGGGGGCCTGTGCCGCTGGGGGGGGATGAGAGGGGAGAAATGTTGGTGCTGTGCCCCACAGTGGGGTGAAAACAGACACCCCCCCCCACCCCCAAATAAACATAACCACACAGCCAGCCTTGGGTGTCCCCAAAA